AGGGCAGTGTCACTGGCCCTCATATGTGGGATCCGAACCAGGGCCCTCTGGCGTCCCAAGCCAGCTCTTAACCAACGCACCACTCGGCCAGCCCTTAAGTACTCATTTTTAAAAGCAAGTTTCATAATTCAAACAGTATAAAGAAAGAAGTCTACTTTTGCAAAATTGAACTTGAAACATAAAGGGATGTGAATATGACTAACTTCCAGAAAAACATCTAACCATATTCAAATTTCTTTTAAAGTCTCTTATCTATATGCCTTTTTCCAATTGAACCAGAAGAGGGAGTATCTTTTTCTTTTTCCTTTTGCAGATAGACAGGGCAGCATCCCTGTGAGAAACTATAAACACAGATATCTAAACTAATAAATCATGGTTTAAGTAGCTTAATAATAGAAACCAAAGTGTTTCAGAACAAGAGCATTATTTGGATTTTTCTGACTTATTCAAAGTTTTTATCAATCACCTCACAAAATTAGCCAAAATTAGTTCGTATTATTCAAATATATCAGGATGGCCTCATAAGGTCTAAGGTTGGACTTTTTTGTTGTTGTTAAACACTGAAATGGAACCTCTGAGGTAGTTTAGAGATATTTAGAAGATAAAAATATATATACTTGAATTCATTTAAAATTAAAGTATTAAATGAATTTCAATTACATAATAGGAAGCATAACTTTAAATATTTGTTGGATTTAAGTATCTACTGCCTTGTTATTATGCTCATATAATACCCCTAGAATGGTCTAGTTTTTGTATTATAAAGCATCTCAGCTAACAAGGATGAAAAGGTTGGTTTCAAAAACATCTCTTAATATATAAAAGGCACGTTATTTAAAGTTAAAAGAAAGCTGAGCATCTAGTATCCAGAAAGAATGAAAGCATATTTGTTGGTACTAAATATATATTTCTCAAAAGACACAGAAATGTAGAAAACTGAATACACAGATAAGAACAAAGCATCTTAAAAGAAAGGAAACAAACAAAGAAGATAATTTAGAATTCTGCTATACTTAGAGCAACTTGAACAAGTTTTCTTGGTGGGAGGAGGCGGTGGGCGAGCAGGTGGAACTGTGTAACCAGTGAGGCACAGTGTGGAGCAGAAAAGCTGTGTAGACCCTTTCCTCTGATAAGCAGTTTGCCCCTTCTGGAGGATTTTTTTGCAGCCAGAACAGGAAACGCGAACAGCTGTGGCTGGAACTGAAGGAAGCATTTTATTCATGCCAGATGACGCCAGAGAAGGCTGAAAACCAGTAGTCAACTGTGGAGCTTTAAAAAACAATTGAAAGAAAAAAAAGTTTTACTTTTTACCATGAATTTTAAGTATGCATCCTTTCTTTCTCTTCTAGAGCTGGTCTTGAATTCAACATTAATTATGCAATATACAACTAAAGCCATTCTAAATGGGCAGAGAACTGCCTCGTTTACTAATACAAGCAGATACTTCTTCTCACTCATACCGGTTGGAATAAACATACATGATTCATTTATTCAGTTCTGTTTCTTACCAAGAGGACTGCCACTGACTGAAAACACAGCACTAATTTTCAGTTCCCCCTCTTGAGTTTTTTGCTGTTGGCCATGGCTGTACTCCTTTAAAAAAATAATAATAATAAATAAATACGTAGAGGAAAGAATGAATACAATGTATCTAAAGAAATCCAGGCATTCAAGACATTTTACTACCACTACATCAGAGGTGGAAAATGTTTATTTACTACATTAACATTAATAAGAAATAACAGCAGCAAACTAAAATTACAATAAGGGTATATAAGTTTCTATATGCTAAGAAAGTAAAAAGGCAAAAAAAAAACAAAAAAAAAAGGCAGCTAACTAATTAGCCTGTAGCAGTACCAGATACTTACAAATTATTTTTGATAATTCTTATTACAGTATTTTAAGCTGTAGTTCATTATAAAAGTAATACACACTATACAAAATTTAGACAAGCAGGAATAAGAATGACATTCTAATCATATTTTCATCACCCCAAAACAACCACTATTATTCTTTTGGTATATTTCTTTCCAGTCTTTTCCCCTCCTACATTCAGAGGTTTTATTTCTTTACATCGTTGTAATTATAGTGAATATACCATTGTTATAAAATGACGTTTGGATCATTTGAATCAACTGAGTATTTGCATATTATTACTTATTACTCCAAAATAACTTCTAGTGGCTAAATATCAGTGTTTTTTAAGTTGGAGTCCAAGAGTCCTTGAGATCTATAGAAATACTCTAAGGAGTCTAAGAATTCTTAAAGAATTATTTTTTAAAACTGCCTTTGTTTCAATAACCTTTTTAGTGAATGTAAACATATTTTAAGTCACGAATAACCACATATAACTAAGTTATACTATACGTTTTCAGTGCTGTTATTTGCTCTTACAATTATTGCACTGTGAAACCCTAAGTGGTAGATTTAATTTTTATTTTAATTTATTGTTAATCACACTGAAACCTGTGAAACCCCACAACACTTCTTATTCTTGGAATTCTCAGGTAATTCCAACACACACCCTTTTTTGTGGTGAGGGGTGTGCCTGTACATTACTTAAGTTTGATAAATACTGACATATTTTAATAGACATAGCAGATTACACAGGGAAGACACTGGGGTGAAGTGAGTGAGGCACTTGCCTCAGGACACAAAATTAAAGCACCAAAAATCTCAGTAAACAAGATAAATAATATTTTCATGCAATATTTTTTATAATAAAAAATGCAAAGACCCATGAACACAATACCAAAATTTTAAATAAATAAGGACAGGATCAGTATTGCTAATTTTTCCTTTGGATTCAAGCTGCAAACTGATGGTCCTACATGGCACTGAGATTATATAACCTCAACCCAATGTTGGCCCATTTGTTTCCACACATTTGGTATAATCAGTAATGCCATGATGAACACCTTTGTGAATATTCACATTCTCATTTTTAGGATTAACACCTAAGGAAAGGATCTTTACAGTGGAATTACTAGGTAAAAAGGTACATAGTAAAGGTTATTGATATACAATGACTGATTGTTTTTTTAAAACTTAATTATATTTATTCTAGTAATTTGTGAAAAAAAACATTTAAAAGTCTTTTCCCACTGGTTTCAATCTGCGATTCTTTTTTTAATATTCATTTACAAAAAAAAGCATTATAATGTAACAGTATTAACCCTGTATAGCATCTATTATCAACATTTTCTCAACATGTACTTTGAGTTAAAATTTTATGAAGTTTGTTTTTATGCCAAAAAGCTGACAGTTTTTAACCTTTATGATTCCTTCTATTTCTTACAAAGTTCTACTTCAGCAATAAAATTCGAAGAAAAGTTTCATTGTTTATAATATAGTCCTCTAATTTAGAGGTCAATAAACTTTATCTGCAAAGGGCCAGATACGAAATACTTTCGACTTCGCAGGGCATACTATCAGAACTACTCAACTCTGTCCTGGTAGAGCAAAAGCACCCAAATATAACATGTAATGAATGTGGCAATGCTCCAATAAAACTACATTTACAAAAACAGTGTACAGAAAAACAAAAACAAAACAGAAACACAAAAGGCAGGCTGGATTTGGCCCACTACTAATAATTTGCCAACCCCTGCTTTAAATCCACCTGAGATTTATTTACTTTGATGTATGATAGGCATTTTTCTTTTTCTTTTTCCAAATAGCTGGTGAATCCCTTCCACTCACCACTAACATATCAAATTCCTCAAAACATATCCCTTTTGTGGCAATCTATTCTGTATCATTATTAGCCTGACTAATCTTACATAGTCACAATAGTCTATTGAAAATAATTCTGGGATGTTTAACCACTTAATAGAGTTTGTCACTATCAACCTCTCTATTTTTTAGAACATGGGTAATGTGTGCATGACTGTTCTTCAAAACATCAGAACGTATTGATATTTTCATCAAAATTATATCAAAACTATACCTTAATTAAGGATAACTGATACCTTACACTTTTTAAGAAGTCTCACCATTCATTCAAGTTGTCTTTTATCTGACACAAGTACTTTTTGGTTGCTTTGCTGTAGCAAAAGTGTATCTTCTCATCATATCTAACTGGGAAACTGATTTATAGAATACTGCTACATTTTATATAATTAAAATTCAACCAGCTACACCACTAAACTTTCATGTATTCTACTAATTCTCTAATAAAGATCCTTACCAGTAAACGATGATAATTTTGTCTCCCCTTTTCCATTATTTCTTCTAATTTCTTTAACATGTATTGGTTTGAAAATCCAACAAGAGTTAAATAATAATGCTGACATCAGTAATTTGTGTTCTTTTAGTAATTATTAACAGTAGGTTTCCATCATTTTACTTTAAATTCAATGACAGTTATTGATCTGAAGTAGATATTTCCTTACCATGATCAAGAGAGTATCTATTATAAGAAATGCATAGTGAATTACATGAGATGTCTTTTGGCATCTAGATATTGATCTGTGTAGTCTTATTTAACCTGTTGGTGAAGTTATATATTAAAAGATTTTATAATAATGACTCATCCTGACATTGCTACATTATATAGTATAATGCAAATTTCAAGTTAAATGTTTTAATCTCAGAAAACTCCAGAAAAATTCAATACACATTGGCACACTTTAATGGTCTCCCATCAGCTCTCTTTTTTCACTATCTGTGACAGTAATCCAAACTTCTGATACATTCCTTAAGCCTCAGGTATATATTACTTATGTAATATAGTAAAGTAAGTATATATCTTAAGGACTCTACTTATACAGCCCACAACACCTTCAAGGCAGAATCGTGTTTATATTAGTATCCTCCCACAATGACTAACTTTACAAATACTTAATAACAAATCAATGACTAATAACTTGAGAAGTGAAAACCTGATTACTCTAAAGCTTTCAGAAGCAGAAAAACAGGTGTCAAAACAAAACAAAGAAATCCTTTACCAATACCTTTATCTTCCTTTTTACCAAAAGGAAGACCCATATCAGTATCCCAAGACAGTATCTTAGAAATGGAAAACCCAGTTCCTATGGCCATGGTATCTTGACACGGCAAAAAAAAAAGCCCCAATATTTAATTACTGTATTCTTACTTCCAACACTGTGGGACTCTCACTACTGTAACAACTTGCTTTCCCATTCTAATCCATTTATTTCAATGCAATATTATAGATGAATTCTCCTTTTATTATGAGCAAAAAAAAAAGGAGGAAAAATCATAATTTTAATATAATATTTACTGAATTTCCAGCTTTTAGAGACTATAGGGGGAAAGAAAAAATGAGTTCTTTGGCTCTTTAAGGTTTCTATTTTAAAACCTTCTCTAGGCTTTTTAAATTTTTTTTTAATTAAACAACTTTTATTTACAGAAAGATTGGTAGGCTAATAATAGTAAGACCTTGATTATGGCCCCAGATTGGCTCCTTCCTAGCCATATGGCCTTCAGTAACTAAATTAACCTCTAGGAACCTGTTTCCTTATCTACAAACGGAGTTAGTATCGTCTACTCTGGCCTTCTGAAATAAGAGGAGGAATCAACATAGTACACATAAAAGCATCTGTAACTGTAAAACTACTACAGAAAATATTATAGTGACATGCAATAGGACTTGAATGAAGAAATGAAACTGGGAGGTCAAATGATGTTATGCCAGTAACAGAGACAGGAGGATGACAACTGACAAACATAGAAAATCATAACTGAAGAAATTATCAAGAGCAAATAAATAGGTGAAATTTATATACACACATTTTAACACCTTAGTGATTTATATGGGAAAGAAAAGAAATTAAAACCCAAATGAATTTTGTTAGGAGAATTAGGGAGTGAGCTGAAAGCAAAACTACAAGTTAGGCAAAGAGAAAAGCCAAGGAAGGTTTTGACACGGTGCCATGAGCTAAAGCTATGATCTTATTAAACTATGAGAAAAGCTACTATTAGTAATTAATGTTCAAAAGTAAAGGCTGACCACACCTGTTAAATCTATCAGTATTTTATGAGAGTTAGGCCAATAGTACTGTTTTAGAGACTAAGAAAATAACATATTGGAACTCCCTTTTCCAGTCAATGGGAAATGAATAAGGGTGATAAAGCATTAGGCAGTATTGAGCAGCAAGGAATACACATTTCCAATGGTCATGGGGAAGAAATACCTAAAAAGAACAGGACAATGAAGAAAGGAGAGGGAAGGGAAAAGGGAGGGGAGAGGGGAAGGGAATGGAGGGAAAGGAAAATGGAAGGGGAGGAAAAGGAAAAGAAAAAGCCCAGTATCTATAGTGTAACATGAGGTCCCTTGAGGGATTTCTAGAAGGATTATCAAAGGTCTGACCCTACAGGGTTGTTGTAGCTGATAACAGAGAGGACGTCTCAGAGAAAACTAGCTTTATCCACTCACATGCTGGGACTGCATTATAAGGCCAGGGTAAAGACTGCTTCTGGGCCTTATGTCCAGGACCTGCACACATTCCTGCTTGGTTCTCAAGAGTCCAATCAATCAGGTGGTGAGCCTCTGGGGAAGTCCTTGCCCATAATCATGATGACACTTCATATTCAGCATTTTATAACACATTATTACACTTTGAATAGTGTATAAAAATATAGGTGTTTCTTTGTCCTGACAGTTCCATCCTATTAGTATTCTCTTGCCACAAGAACCTCTGATTGTTTTCAGAACAGTAATACGAAACGCCCTTCCTGATGCCCTCTTCCCCAGTGTATCTCATCTTTGCTACAAGTGCCTTTTTGTCCCAAGGAAAGTGTCACTAGGTCACGTACAGCGAGAAGGGATGCCTTTGGTACCCTACCAGCATTATGATTCCTTATAATTTCCGATGTCCACTGGGGTGTAGAGACAGGAAATCTGCCATGTATGCACACGGTTGGAGTCTTCTGAGGCATGCACTGCCACATGAACTTTCCCTAGGTATCAGGACATTTCTTTATCCCCAACTCAGATATCCAAGATTTCCACTTTGCCTGCTTCTATTAAACTACTTTCAATCTACCTTCGATTCAAATACTTCTCTACTGTCTTCTTCTCTACTGTCTTCTCTACTGTCCTTCTCTACTGTCTTCTTTGTAGCCACTACCTTCATACCCATCCAACTCCCACAGCTTTATCATCACTACTCTACACAGCTACCTTCCACTGGGCACCATGGAATTCTTGCTTAACTGAGCATCAATATGACTCTACAAATCACCGGCATCTATAAATCATCTGTTTCTATGTCCTTCTTCTAAAACAGTGGTTCTCAAGAGCAGACAATTTTGCCCTCCAGGGGACATTTGGCAACATCTAGACACTTTGGAGGTAGGGGGTGATGCTATAGGCATCTAAATAGGTAGAGGCCAAGGATACTGCTGAATATCCCACAATGCACAGGACAGCCCCTCAAAACAAAAAATTATCTGGCCCAAAAGGTTAATTAGTGCTGAGATTGAGAAACCCTGATCAAAGACACCAGAATAAAAAAATCTCTTCCACAGAAGTCTCATGTTTTCAAACCCCCTAATATAAGAGGAAAGGTAAGCTGTCTCCTGATCAACTGTCATTTCAGAGAAATAGTTAATTCATGCTATTTTTACTTTCTGGGCCTCTGAATTCATGCACTCTGTATAAAAACATAGATCACCCTCAAATAATTGCTGCTATTGTGTATTCATCACTTGTTCCCCTTCCTACATTCAAAAAGGATTCCAGTACCTGATATAACTTCTTTCTTCCATCCCAACCACTGCAATGTCATTAACTGTATGGATAACTTTGCTGACTTCAGGACCTCACAGTTACAGGGTCTCTATGACTTTTACTTCCAGAGCTACACGGAAATAGCAGAGCTCTATCTTTACCCTTATTACTCACAGATCTCAAATTTGGAATCCCGTATCAATCATCAAAGCCTCCTTTACCTTCTACCCACTGATCCAATGAACTGGTTCTTCAATAAATTAACCCTTCCAAAGAGATCCTGTCCATATGCCCTTCTGAAAAAAAACACTTAAATCCATACATACATAGCCTGTACTTCATTAGCAGTAACTGCAAAAAGCCTACTGCCTTATATAAACTTAATCGAGCCATAAACTTATAAACCTTCAGCCACATCTGCTTTATCAATCTCTAATCCTTTACGGCTCACACTTTCCTAATCCTGCACTTAAACTGTAAAAACAGAGAACAGAGTGGTACTTAGGAATAAAGTAGATTAAAAGCCTTAATTACTACTCAGGAAAAGTTTCGTATACTGTAACTTGTTGATTCCTTAGCATTACTCTCACAAGATAATTCAAACTGCCTCAACCTTCATTAAGAGTCTCCTCTCACCCTGTCAACAAAATGCTTCACAAAATGCTTCACTCCTTAATCAAGAATGACCTCTCTCAAATGAATAATTCATGTGTGGAACAAAAAGAAGGGGAAAAAAAAAGGTGAAATGTTTACTTGAGCATTGTCAGGTTCATCTTTAATTTTGTCTAGTAGTCCCTGCTGTGGTGCCATTGCTTTGTCATACTCATCATCCAAAGGTTCTTCTTTAATTTTAATATTTGATGCAAAGGAATTCCCCAGTTCCGAACCAATGGATTCTTTATTGGCAAATGGATAGCTGGAATCCTAAAACACAATATAAAGGATTAATAAATATTCAGGCTTAAAATTTATTCCTCTTCAGGTTTAATACCCAGAGAAAAACTCACTGGAAATGAAGAACTCTATGGACATCAATCAGAGTCCCTATGCCTAAAGTAAATGTGACATATGTCTAAATATTAAATACAAATAAAGAATCTCAGAGCTGAGGCTTCTTAGTCCATCTCCAAAGATGTCCTTTCCCAAATAATAAAGAAACAAAAAATCAGCGCTCTACCTACTACATAGGTACAGTTTAGAAGTGACATAAAGAAAACTTTGACACTTGCCACAGTTACAGTATTCTACATACACACTGAAAACTTACCCTAAAGTTTGTTTCTGGGGTTTGTGGTAAATGGGTATGTAATGTTTCTTCAACTTGATTAGCTATTGAAAGAAAAACAAAAACAAAACAAACACATGTATATGAATAACAAATCTTATAAAGAGTGACCTAAAAAGCTATAATTTGATAATTATCTCTCTTTTCCAACAAAGATGCTCATTAGTGTGAAATGGATCCCGCCCCCTTCAAAAAAACAAACAAAAAAAACACCCAAAAGGTAGTTTTCACTCGAAGTAAACTAATTATCTGGCCCCACCTAATTTTTAGCCTCATCTCACTTTTCCTTGCTCAAACCTAAAGTGATTACTTTATTCACTATGCTCTGAAAATTACTTGTGCTTGCTCTCCCCCAGTTCAGTTTATATCATTCCAAATCCCCTCTATCTGTCCTAATCTTTATAGTTTTCCAGACTCAGTCCAGTTCAAAATTCACCTGTCCTCTATAAAACTTTCAATGACCAATAAGTCAAAAATAATCTCTAAGAATACCTAAAACACACTGTTTCAGTTATGTGAAAGCAATCTTCTTGTACTGCCTTATGACAAACTCTTCCACCATCTTTAATTATAAATTAAATCTTACACTATTCAACTGGTCACTGACACGTCTACTATGTTACTTGTCCCTCCTACTACTAGACAAAATCCTTAAGGATAAGCACCCTCATCATTTTCAATATCCCTTCAGGGGATACTGAAAATATATAATGAATAATATAGCATACCCTTGTACAGCCTTCTACATCATAGATACTTAATTATTCTTTTTAACAATACTGATTTGTTCTTTCTACTATATTCTTCCTAGTATTGTCAGAAAAAATTTAAGGGTTAGTAAATTAGACCTTACTTTCTTTTATATCTACTGAACATTTATTGAAATATTACTATTTTCACTATACCAGGTTAGGCCCCAAGAATACAAAGATGAGTAAGATACAATCTGACCCTCAATAAATTCTTACACTAGTAGGTAAGTCAAAAACAAATACAGAACTATAAAACTGTGTGATAAGTACTATTAATAATGAGGCATGAACAAAATGCTATGGAAATATAGGTAAGGGAACAATACATTCTTGATGTAGAGAGATTAGGGATGACTACAGGGTAGAAGAGGTTTATGAGTTAGGCATTGTTGGATAAGAAGTACTTTTACAGGCATATATATACAAAGAGAGAAAATGACATGCAGGCAAATGGAACAGCAAGAGAAAAGGCATGAAGAAAATACATGATATATTCAAGGATGGAACTAAAGCTAAAGTACAGGGTACACTGGGCAAAGAGGCTCAAGCAGAACCTCAAGAAACTTCTAAAACATAAAACAGAAATGTTATCAAAAAGAAAAACCCTCCCTAATTTGGACTAATTGGTGGGACAGCAGTTTGAATTAGTGCTTACAGCACAAAGAAGTTAAATCCAACTTCAGGTTCCAATGTTCAACCAAAGAAAATGAACAGGTGATTCGAGTATCTTGCCTTCTCATCAAAATATTGCAACCAAGGGAGGGAGAAATGAGGTTTAGAGCTATTTTTCAACCATATATACCATTACCAAAAGTTACTGGGAGAAATTCAGTCACTCTGTAAAGAACAAGGATAAAAGAAAAATGACAAACTTACAATGAATTTAACTGTTCATACGTCACTTAGCATCAGAAGTAATAAAAGCTATATTATTATCAGTATGTTATTGTTTTATGGCTCTGTTCCAACCATTATTACCTGCTTTATCAAAAAAACTGCTTTTCAACCTTGAATCCAACTCTTTATGGGGTTTATCCAACCGTTTTTCACGTTCATAAGTTAGGTCTCTATTTTTCTCCTTTCCAGAAAATGTCTCTTTGCTGTTTTCTCTTACTAGACTAAAATCTTTCCGTATTGATTTAAAGACAGAAACCTGATCAAACTGTTTAGGAAAGTCTTTTTTTAATTTATTTTGAATCTGTATTTCATTTTCATTGTCTGATTCATGCTGTGTGACTCTTCTCTCTACTTCCAAGCTATCATCAGTATGAATTGAAGAAACAAGATTGTCCTTTGAACTAAAATCCTGTTCATCCTCATTGTCACTACCAACGACTGGAATTCCTGCAAGATCCCCAGAGTTCAAAAAATAATCATCTTCGTCCAGCAATGAATTTTCAGATCCTGTTTGATTCGGCACTCCATAAGACATGCTGTCAAGGGTAGGAGTTAAGTTGTGGTCTATATCTTCAGACATTTCTGTATCCATGATACCACCACCTTAAAAAGTAAAATACTGTTTAGACAAATGATAGTGCTAAAGTTGACCACATTTACAAGGTATGTCTGGTATTTAATCAATTATATTTTTCTCTCCAAACAAAATATAGATAATACTGAAGTATTCAATTAACATTCTGAGTTAGGAGTGACAGATATGACTATCCCTATTTGATAGATAAGGAAACAGGGACCTAAAAGTTGAGAATCTCATTTTGGATTAGGAAGAAAGGCAATATGATATAGAAAAAAGTACCAACTTCAGGATCAGACATATCTGTGTTAGAATCACAGCATGATCACTGAAAATCTGTATGATCCTGAGAAGTAAACTCTCAGGTTTCTTTATAAAACAGTATAATACTCACCTTGGGAATTAATTTATGGTGAGGATTGATGATAATATGTATAAAGGGCCTACTAACAGAGTGACTGAACACAAAGAAGGGAATATAGAAGTGATGATTATAATTATTATTTATAATAATTGTTCTGGGGACCTGAGATTAGAACCCAGGTCTCTGGCTCAGAGTCCCAATTTCTCTGCACTAACTCTAATAAACACAGCAGTTAATGTTTACAATGGCAAATATTTAAACATAAAAATAAAATTTATCCAAGCCAGAATAAATTTAAAAGCTGTTTACTGTTTAAAACTACATGCTCAAGTCTCTCTCATTCTAAAATAAAACAAAAAAACGTCCCAGCCTTGTATTTCTCCTGCCCTCCTTCACCTGTCCTTCACACACAAAGTCTACATTGGTTTGTCTCTACTTCACCTTAATCCTTTGAACTGCAATCTGGGTCCCAATTTTGCACTGGAAATGCTCTCATTAAGCTCATCAATGATCTTTCAATGATCAAATCTTGTACTGCCTTATGACAAACTCTTCCATTAGGATTTGCGAGCCATACATACCCCTTATGTGACACACCCCTCCTGGATAAAATTCCTTTGATTTCTTTGACACAGTGTTTCTTCCTTCCTTTCTAACTGGTCTATTTGTTTCATGCTCCTGAAGAGCACTCAGTATCAGCTTTCCTCTAAGATTCCAGTTCTCTTCTCATTTTATATACTGTTTTATTCACAATAGCCTGGACTTTTGCTGTTAATTTCTTAAGCACTTTAGCTTAGACCTTTCTTCCAAGGTTCAGGTGTATATACTCTTACAGTTATCCTTAGGGACCTCCAACTGTAAAACCAAACTCATCATGTTCCCATTCCAAGCATACTCTTCTTGTATTTCCCTCACTTGATTAGTAGTATCACCAAACCAGCTGTTTGCTCAAGACAGAAAAAGAAAAGCATTCCCAATTCTCTTTCCCTCTTGACCAGGGGTCGCAAACTTTTGAGACAGTAGAGCCACCAGGAGTCAGCAAACTGTGGCTCTGAAGTAAAATTGAAAATGAAAATAAAACTATCATAGTTTCATTTATAAAATTTTTAAAGGATATTATTCACATAATGGTGATTATGTAAAAATATATTTATGGCTCTCGAATAATTTTTAAATTGTCATGAGGGACAGGATTGGTTCTTCCAGGGGTCAGCAAACTTTTGAGACAGAACGTACCCAAAGAGCCGCATGTGGTTCGCGAGCCCCAGTTTGTCGACCCCTCCTCTAGACAAATTCAAATCAATCTCCTCCACTTGGCATCATCCCAATACCCCACATCTCTTCCTGTTGACAGTGTATTAACTCAAACCACATTATTATCTAGGAAGCAACCCTATTCCTACAAATCCTACCCCGAACTACATTTAACTGGTCCATGAGCTGCCAAACTGGAACTGATAAAAATACAGTGAAGCAAACACTAAAAATACTAGTGGCACCAACTGCACTGCTTTTCTTTGTCCCTGAAGCCCAGATGAAACCTTTAATGTGGCTGGTTCTTCAAATCATTCCCTGGATTCCATAATCCAGGATAAATTCCTCTTCTTGTTTAAGTTGATTTGGTTAGACTATTACTTATAATCAAGTCCTAATTGATAAAGGGTCCAAATGAAAGCCTTCTTCAAGTTTCCCTGCTCCATAAAGTCAACAGAATTATCTTTCTAAACCATAAATCATTCCATATTATACCTTCCCTTGAAATCCTTCAACAGCTCCCCAAAGCGTAAAGTACTCATTCATTCAGCACATATTTCTTAGGAAGCCACTCTGTGGTAAGTACTGTAATAAGTTCTAGGGATAGAATGAAGAAAAAGACAGCTATGATTCCCCCTCCTCACCCAACCAGAAAAACAGACAGACACAGGAAATAATCAAATTAGAAAATAACTATTTTTACTTAACTAAATAATCAATTCAAACAACAGATGCTAAAATCTTAGGAATATCTTCAACTTATTTTCACACAGTATGCCACAGAGAAAGAAGCAGGGAGGGATGAGAAAGCATGCACAGTATTATATAGATATTCATTGTACTATTCTTTCCATTGTTCTATTTATTTGAAAATTCTCATAATAATAAAAGGTTAGGGGGAAAATATAAATAAAAAAGCAAGATGTTAACACATATATATACATCTAGTGTGACAAATCTACCAGACTATAAGCAACTAAAGGTCAGGGTTAGAGCCTTCTTTATACAATGGTTTCTTCTTAATACCCAAACACAAAGCCATGTGCTTTGTTTCATGAATAGAAATAATATGTCTTTCATGTGGTCAGCAGTTAAATCTAAGTTCCATAGTACATGAGAAGTCAATATTAAAAAGTAATAATGCAAACTTTCAAAATCTCTACATTTAAATTCAAGATATGGTATTGGGGGACAGCTGGTTAGCTCAGTTGGTTAGAGCGCAGTGCTCGTAACACCAAGGTTGCTGGTTGGATTCCCACATGGGCCACTGAGATGCGCCCTCCACAACTAAATTGAAACAACTACTTGACTTGGAGCTGATGGGTCCTGGAAGAACATACTGTTCCCCAATAAAAAAATGTTTAAAAAAAAAAAAAGATACGGTATTGGGAGAAAAGGGTAGGCACATGTAAAAACTGGATCCCTAACTTATACCAAAACAATTGCCAGATGCATTTAAGGTTTAGACATAAACATTAACACAGTAATAATACAAAACCATGGAAGAATTATTTTTAAGTCTTAAAGTAGGGGAAAGCCTTTCTTATGATGGCACAAAATCCAAAATAAATTTATTGAATAAGAGCACAGATGGATACTAGATTTATTGGGGTAATCACTTAGTAAGTTATATAAATGTCTAATCACTATGTTGTATACCTGAAACTAATATAATACTGTACATCAACTATAACTAAAAAATAAAGAAGTATTTTTTAAAAGATATACACACACAATTAAATGTAAATAAATAAATAAATAATCAAATATGACTAAGAAATTCCCAAAGAGAACACAAAGCAGACCAAAAGATTCAGGATAAACTGGTTAAATAGATTTTACTGCACTTTTATATGACAAAAGGTCATTTCCCTAATGTATAAAGATTCTTATAATTCAATAAAGATATAATACAATCAAATACATAAAAGCAAAGGATTTAAACAAACATTTCACAGGAAAGGAATACTAAGGTTGAAACTTGCTCATGAGTGAAATGCAAACTAATACAATGAGATACCATGTTCACATAGCAGGTTGGTAATAACAAAAGGTTTTGATAACAGCCTGGCTGCTATGCTATAAGCCAAAGCTGCCAAACTATAGCCCACAGACAAAAAAATATTTAAAAGAGTCAGTGACAAAGACCCTATCTGAGCTGCAAAGCCTAAAATATTTACTGTCTGGCCCTTAACAGAAAGTGTAAACTGGTACAATCAAATTAAAGAGCAACCAGGCAATATTTATAATACTTTTTAAATACACATACCTTTTGAGCCAGCAATTCAACTTATAAGAATTTATTCTATAATCTCATAAGACATCTATGAAAAAGAACACTTATAGCAGCAAAAGACTGGAAACAGCCTATATGTTCATCAGTGAGACTATATTAATTACAGTACATACCTACAATGGAGTATTATATATTATAGTTGTTAAAAAGAATGAGGCAGTTTTATATAAGCTCCCAAGGTTGATTAAGTAAAAATACCTAAGTGGGGAAGAATATATTCATACACATGTATTGTGCTATCACTGCTGGATTTTTAAAAAATTATGTGTATGTGTAACTGTTTATGCATAAAAATATTGATTCTCTACGAGAAAAAGAATTAAGTTGCTGGAAACAGAAATACTAACTTTTCAAAGCATACCCTTTTGTATCTTTGAGTTTTAAAGCACATGTATCTACCATCTTTTAAAAAATTGTTTATCCTTATTTGAGAATGCAGTTGAGATTTAAAACTTTTTCATAGAGAGCAATTTCTAACAAAGTATCTAATTTAAATTTCCAATTTTACTAGTTTATCACACATTAAACATGTAGGCTGCATAAAATCTTATGAGGTTAAAATGTAAGTACTAGTTACATATATTAATATATATAATTAACTGTAATAAAATTCTATTCATCCTTGTGGTCCATGTAATCAAACAAAAGAAACAGTATGTTTCTCAGAACCTGGATCTACAGAACAAAACACAATGATACACTCTATTTGGAGATCATAATACCTAGTGAAATGCTTGAAAGCACAAATTTCTCAGGGAAGATTCCTAGCTTTTAGATTTAACTGTGAACATGCTTGGCACATCTGAGCAAAAGCAAGGACAGTATGGCTGGAATTGAATGAGTGAGAGAAAGAACACTAAAAAAAAGAGAAAAGAGGGCTAGTCGAGTGGCTCAGTTGGTTAAGAGCTCGCTCAAGAGTGTAAACTCTGGGCCAGCCGAATGGCTTAGCTGGTTAAGTAAGAGCTTGCTTGGGAGCGCCAGCTCTGATCCCACATTGAGGGCCAGTGACTCTCGCCCTCTACAGCTAAGATGAACAACAGCTCAACCTGGAGCTGGGCTGCTGTGAGTCGCCAGCGCCGGCGTAGGCTGCAGCGGGGCTGCAGTGGGCTGCC